CAGTTTTGTAGGAGATTGACTCTTCTCTCTCTCATCAGTCAAAGTTACAATTATTTTTATTCAAATAAATCTATTAAAAGTGCTTTTGAATCGTCAAATATTTTTGATCTACTTACATTCCAGGTTACCTCTTCGCTGAAAAGAATGAATAAAAGTGAGTCGTCTGCTCTAACAGAAGTAACGGCATTTATAAAAACCAAAACTGTCAAAATTGAAATAAAAATGAAAGAAACAAGTTGTAAGTTGTAGATCGAACAAAATTCACATTACAATCGGGGGATAGTTCTGTGGAACATTTGTTATCTAAGAGGGGACCGCTTGAAATTTGGCATTCATTCTGTTTATTACACGACTGCATAAAAAAGGGGTGTTTTGTGTTTAGTGTTGACGTTTGTATGTATGTATGTATGTGTGTGTGTATGATATGTGAGTTTCTTTATTCCATCATAAAAGCATGAAGAAGAAATTAATTTTCAAAAAAACTACTTCTTTGTTTTGTAACGCTTCTGAAGATTGTCATCGTCATTCGTTTATATGTTTTCAAATTCGCTGAATATATGTAATCTTTGGGAAATTAACAAACGCGATAGTGCTACAGAGCAATAAAAAAAGGTGAGCAATTAAAATAAAACTACAACAACTAATAAACATACTACAAAATATAATATACTAATAATATAAATAAACTTACACATTATATTTTGTAGTATGTTTAGTATTATTGTTTTTGTAGTTTTATTTATGTTTTTTTTTATACTATGTAGTGATATTCGGTATGATATAACTTATCTAATGATACTCAATATTTTAGCAAACCAGTGTATATAAATTATGAATAACAAAAAAATAATTGACTAGGACGTCATTTTCAACAATAAGGTCACTTGTAATCACAATATTGATATTAGAGACGTAGTTCCGAGTCATGTCAGAGGTAAATTTTTCAATATTTTATAAGTTTAAAATCTTTGATTGTAAAAATTATTATTAAATATGTCTTTTCGCAAAAATTTTAAAGGTAACCAAATACTTTCAAGCTGCAAAGGATTATCTATATACTTATAATAAATCCAAACAATAACTTCTGCAGATGTTCCTCCATTGAAAGAGTAAATGAAATCAAATACCTTGGAATACTGATAGATAGCAACCTCTCCTTTAAGCCACACTTCAATATTCTATCTGCGAGATTGCGTAAACTCATTTATGTTTTTAAGTCTATTAGGTCAATAACTGAACCATCGCTACTTAGATCTGTTTACTTTTCCCTTTGTCAATCTCTGATCCTTTATTGTATCACATCATGGGGTGGTGCTCCCAAATCTAGTATCATTATACTGGAACGTGTCCAACGTGCTGTACTTAAAGTAGCTACCTTCAAATCATTTCTATTTCCAACAGATGCCCTCTATTCATTTTGCGAAGTTTTGTCCGTACGGAAACTATTCATTTTGTACACGCTGTTGCACCAACACTCTAAGACAGCATTTGATCCTGTTGTTGCCAAATTTCGTAATAGACGAATAGTCAAGGGTCGACTTTTTCGTAAATCCTTTAGCCATAGATTCCTTCCATTTCTGGGTCCATTTCTTTATAATTATGTCAATAGATTTATTAATATATATCCTTTGAATACCAGACAGTTAAAAAATACACTTTTACAATGGCTTCTCCCATTGTCTTATGAGGAGACAGAAGAGTTACTTCATCACATTAAATAAACTTTTATGAATTGTATAAATATAATTACTATAGAATTTATTTAAGATAGTATTTAAGCAATATGACCCTCTGTACTTTTACAAACTGATTTATACTTGTATTATTTTTATCAACGGAAGTTTGTGGGTTCTTAAGCTACAGGTTCCTCCTATTTTAAGTTCCCACAGATCTACACTACTGTATTTTTAAGGACTTCACCTGTTATGCCATACCAGATTGTGTTTTTTCTTTTTTGGTAAATAAAGTTATTATTATTATATTATTATTATTATAAATCTGTAGAGAGGTCAATTCTGTACATGAAATATATTTCCAAAATAACTATCAGGGGGTGATTAGGGATCGATACTGATGCCAAAAATGCAATCAGTAAAATTTTTGTCTGTCTATCTGTCTGTATAACCGTTATAGAAATAAAAACTACTTGACGGATTTTAACGAAACTTGGTACAATAATTTTTCATACTCCTGAGCTGGTTATAGTATGCTTTTCATCACGCTATAATCAATAGGAGCAGAGCAGTGAAGGGAAATCTTGGGAAAACGGGAGACGAGCGGTTGGCGCACCTAACGAGGCTGCAACTCTCTAGCCAAAAGAGCCATTAAGACTGGTACATTCGCACACTACGGTTTATCTATACTAATAACTAATAATTATAAAGCTGAAGAGTTTGTTTCTTTGTTTGTTTGAACGCGCTAATCTCAGGAACTACTGGTCCGAATTGTAAAATTCTTGTGTTGAATAGATCATTTATCGAGGAAAGCTTTAGGCTATATAATATCACGCTGCAATTATTAGGAGCGAAGAAATAATGGAAAATGCGGACGAAGTCGCTGGCGGCCACTAGTTTATAATAATTGGAGTTTGTTTTATCACAAATGGGATTAATTCTTTTGAATTACGATTAAAATAGAATGTTTAAATTGATAATAAACACATTTTAGTGTTTAAGTTGACAGGACTGATTATTATTAATTATACTATATAACAACTAAACCCTAGAGTCAAAACAACGGAATATAATGTATAGACGTTAATTTTATAACTAGCTACGACCATAATACAATCACATTTACTTATTTTAATTTGAAGGATTGAAAAAAAAAAACACGATAGAACGAAGAAACGTTTATATCTTTTTTTAAATGGGTTCATTTAAATATTTCTTTGTGTTATTTTCCAAGACAAAATTTATAGGTACACGAAGAACGCGGAGCATGTAACACATTTCTTCTTTCATTGACTAGTAAAAAGAATGTAAATCGCGTGATAAATCATTGCCTTCACAAACATTACACAGACTCATCTTGGGGTAAAACCATTTTCCATATTTTGGCTAGCTACTTGCACAGGGAGCCCGAATTTTTATCAATGAAGTTAAATCGTTGTTGTGTCACGTTCAATATTATATATGTATACGCCCTGAAGTTTTCAAAAATAGGTTGGTAACTATCTGTCTATAATTGTTCATGAAATATATTTTATTAAAAAAAAACTTCAAAATATATATAATTTAATTATATATAAAAATCTCCAATCCGCCTTGGACCATCGTGGAGGGTCATAGCCCATCTTCCTTAACCATCTATAAGGAAGGCCCGAGCCCCTGGATTGGGGACGTAGAAGGGCTGATGATGATATTATATAAAAGTAAATTATATCATATACAAATTAAATTTTATATCTAAATTCAATTGTAACTAAAATGATAAGTTTTTAAAAGGATTAAAACGTAGTCTATACTAACAATATAAAGAGAAAAGATTTGTTCCTTTTTTTGTATTGAATAGGCTCTGAAACTGGTGTACCGATTTTCTTTATAAAAGTACCTTTACCATATGAATCCATTTTTGTTTTTAATTTAATATTTTAATGCCTATAAAATAGCAAATGGCGGTCTTAGTGCCAAAAATACAATCTCTACCAATTTTATTGTTAGGGTTTCGTATATAAAAATAGTGGGCGAAGCCAGATCGGGCCACTATCACTTAGTAAGAGGCCTATGCCAACTGGCACTAAAGTCGAAAAAGATGTATATTTTTTTTAATTATGATTCCAGTATCTCGTCGGATATATCAAATTCCAGAACCGAGAATGACCACCAGCTCCACCATGTAACTGAGCCCGAATTAATCTGTCAATAAGCCCTGAATACTCTGTCAGAGTGATAAACTAAATTTCAGCAGATCACTTATTGGTCTGCTGAGAAACTGGTTTAGTGGACAGATCAATCTTGATTGGTTAACTTAAAGTTGATCTATTAGTGTAACAAATCATTCGGGGCTTTATTTTGACAGATCAGTATGGGTTTCTGTTACGTGGTAGATCCGCAAATCATTAAAATATGTAACGGTGCTTCGTATCACCGACCTTTTATTTCGTCCTAGGTATCCGCATGCAAACTTTTGGTATTTGATCTTCAAAATAATTTTTTTTTATTATTCACCTTTCGTAATTTGAAATTTTGACTAATCCAATATGCTCTTTATGAATGTCAGTTCGTAAAAAAATCATCTGGCTTGATATTATAATTCAATTATATATAAACATCGAACCCGTCACAAATACAATAATATCAAACAATCGATTAGGCGGAATAGAGCAGTCTACATAATATAGATCAGCCATTATAAGTCTGTAAAATTATTTTTCATTCCAAATCTGCAAATTGTTGCTTACATAAATATAATTTTTTTCTTTGTATTTGAATGAGACAACAATTACATAATTTTGATTCTAACTATCATTTTTTTATAACTTTTTCAATTAAATTTCCACTCAATTCAACGTTGCTATTCAAACTCGAATTAATTGATTGTTTGTAGGTGCTTAATCTAAATTTTGTTAAATTCCGACTTGATGAAGTTTGGGAAGTCTAAACTTCGTCAACCCAATAGCTTGTTAATAATGAATGTGAGTATTTATAGGTTTACGAATCATTGAATTTATACAAATTTTATTATATGTTTAGCTTTAAACAGAATTTCAATATTTTCTTAAATAATAAGTATGAAGCGCCTACATAAATCAGACGAGCAAAATGTTTATTCAATGAATATACGACGTACTCGTAGGTGGTATAGTATTAATGGTAGCAAACGGTGTAAAATTAAATGAAAGTCAATCTAAGTTACATTAAAAACGTAACAGAATAGGATGCTATGTATGCAAAATCTTATATATGCCACAATAAGTTAAACAGTCATTCAATGAATTCAATCGAAAGGTTAGTATTTTAGCCTTAGTGGTGCACGAATACTAAAGGAACATCACAACGATGTTTAATTAAACCTAGAAAACGAACTATGTTATTAAAGGATGCGACTTATTAAGGGGTTAATCATCCAATCGAACGGCTTCTTTAACTAGTTGCTACATAATATGACATATATTTGGATTCCTTACAAATAATAATCTTAATTTTAATTTTATTTATAGATTCACTTGACTTTACTCTTGCAAATAATATGGATGTCATACTTATAAATACAATAAATTCTGATTTCATAAACATAGAAAAGAAGGTTCAATATAAAATATTCATCTAACATATTATTTACTTCATGTATAATTATTTCTTTATTTGTAGAAGTACTAATTACATCTTTAACTTCTTCGTGTCATCTATTTATTTTTGTAGATTTTTTATCTTCAGTTGTAGCATTTTTATTTGATATAAAAGTTTCATATTCGAAAGCCGAACATAAAGGTGTATCGAATTGTTTTGTTTCGCTTAACTTTGAAAAATCTACATCGTAAATTTCCTTCTCTTCGTCATAACTAAACATTGGAACAAATCTATGACCCCATATTATATCACTTTCACAATAACTCGATCTTGCTTGTATAGGTTGACCAGTTGATTCAATTATACCTTCAAAAACAACTAATATTTCTATGTTTCCACATAAGAGATCTGCGGCTGACATTTTATATAAGGGACTAGATTCGTCTATTGTATGAACAACGGAAACTGGCCATAAAAAGAAACTAGACTCGCAATTATCCATATCTGTATGAAGTTCAATTTGTTCACTGTTGTCCAAATAATTCATATCGTCTTGTAATCTTATAATAAACATGTCAGCTTTAATATTTAATATCCTTGATTTTCTCATATCACCAATTCTTAATATCATGCACAGTTTTTCGTCCCTAAGGCTTATTGTGGCGTGCTTACTTAATAGTATCGTTTGAGTTCTAGCTTTTGGTCTAGTCAGTTTGGCAAACAGGATTCCAATCATAAAAGCTTGGAATATAGAACTCATAATACATTGGAGGCACATTGCAAAAATGGCATCAGGACATTGAAGTGTGATTGCTCGCTTACCATAAGCTACTGTCGTATGAACTTCTACACTAAATAAAAAGGTTGACGTGAAACCATAAATGTTTTCAATGCAAGGAGTCCAATTTGAGATACTCTGGTTGGGAGGAAGATGGTCTTCAGTTAAATCTCCATGAGCAACAGATATAAACCAGTAAGTAAAACCAAAAAACAACCAATTGCCAGTGAATGCTAAAAAAAAACTTATAAAGGTCCACCTCCATCTAGCTTCCACTAAAGAGACAAACCACAAACAGGACAAACTGAGCTTCTGATTTGAAAACTTCTCAGAATTGATTTCTCCATTCTTTAAAACTGCTCGAGGTTTTCTCTGTCCAACTGTGACACGACGGACTGGATTTAAAATCTCTGAAATTAATAAAGAAGTTTTTAAAAAGCAATATAATTTGAATGAATAACTGTAATGTATAAAGCAAAGCGATAACCCACTGTTAAATGACTTTCACCCAGTTGGACAAGAGTTTATTAAAATTGACATTAATTTAAAGCCTATATTGTCGATACAAATTTTCAAATTTAGAACATAGCTTAAAGTGAAAATCAAACCTTCAATATTTTTTTATGCGATTGTTAATGAATTAATATTTTATGGTATTTACTATAAATTAGATTCATATGTATAGTAGGTAAAGGTATACTTATAAATCTAATTTATAGCAAATACAATCAACTATAAGTAGTCCAACTTACTTTGTCGAGGATAGTATACTCCTGGTGTTAAATTACTCGAAGTGCTAGATTCTGACAACGGAGGTTTTGTAAATTCATTTCGGGTCTTATCTTGCTCGCTCATATTTTACTCATTCTGTAAAATGTAAATATCATTATCAAGTTCATGTAACCAAAATAACTGTATTATGGTTGTCTATTTAATAACAAATTATATAACGTTTTGGTGGATGAAAACTCTGATAGGAATTCTCAAAATTGTAATGCAGCTAGAAATCCACTATTGGTAAGATAATTTTGATTTTTGATAAGCAATGATAATAAATTATAATATTGTGTTCGGTTTAGTTTGGCATATATTCGTAAGCTGTTTTAATAGACTTTATCCAAGCAGTATTAGGTAATAACCATTATAATGACATTCGTTTGTCATTGATCCAAAAGCGGTGTTTGGTAAGATAGAAATGTTTTGCACTGAATAATATAGGCACGCTAAAAGTTTAAAGGTTCAGCATTGAATTATAATAGTGGCCTTTAGGAGTACTTATTTAGATGAGATAATTTTATGAATACATTTTTTCGCTTATTGTCAATTATTAAATAACTATTACTGATTGACTAAAATATTATGATTGTCTTGTTTTTATTACAGTTTATTTTCCTATCAATTGCATTTAATAACTAGCGTGAGTGGCCCTCTGACTTTTCAATAATCATAAAAGCAGATGCAAGAATGTTGATGATAATTAGTAAAAAATTATATCTTTTTTAGAAATTTAATTAATTGACGATAGTATGGACTTGATATTTGGATTTTCAATTAAAGTAAGATATACAAATAAAACATACTAACATTATGCTCTCACATACAAAATTTAAAAATAAAAAATAGAATAAGACATAAATTGCTTTTGTATAAATATTATTCAGACTTTAAGTTTGAGTAGCCACATGTTTTATGAAAAATTGAAACCACAACATCCAGTTCCGGTAAATCAACACACTTTATTTACCACATTCGACTGCGAGTCGAACCGACATCAAAGATGGCGACATCTGAAATCAGCGTGCGAGTCACTTGGTCACGGAGGTCGTCTTAACCTTTTTTTTTATTGAGGTTTAATAGTTACATAATATAGATGTGATTAATATTAAGCCTCTACGTAAGCTAAATACAGTTCGAGTTGTGAAATGGTATATACGTCAATGACACCCATATACATACCTTGAATCCAAAAATATATATAATTTAAAATTATCTAATTGCTGTGTAAACTAAGATTGGTAATGAACGTTCTGTACGCATAGTGGTTTCAAACTGAAAGTAAGAAGCAGTAGCAAGGTATTTGAGAACGATAAGGCGCATGACGTGTAGGTAAACTCATAATAAGAGCAATAAAATAAGATTAGAGTTACATTGTTGTAGTGTTTCTAAAAATAATTATCTGTAAAACAATGTTTCATTGACTCTTCTTAAATATTTTTTTGTTTGAACAAACAGTTTTAATTTGTCTATTAAAGCAAACAATGGGTGCAAAATTGAAGCAAATAATGGCAAATCGTGACAGCTTCAATTTCTTAATAATAATAAGTAATAAGAGTATTTTGCTATTCAATTGATAAATGTCGATACCAATATAGTTTTTAAGGATATCGTTTAGGAAGTACTTTAAAATCCCAGAAAGGTAGTAAGACATATTTTATCCTAAAATAACGGCCCTTAAAGGGTTAAAAATGGCAGTGGAAATTTGTATGGAAATAAAACGTTACTATAGCAACCATTGTTTACTATTCAATTTGGCATTGTAATTATATTTGTATCATGACGTCAATTCTTATCCCAATCAATTATTAAAATATTTAAGCTGTTTACGCAGGAGTAATTTTTTAATAACTCAAATCGGTTCAATCGTTGTCGCTAATATTGCATGTCACTGTATCTCAATGATTATGTAAACAAAAATGTTATTTTAGATTCCATTGTATTTTTAAACGAGTTTTTTTTTATTATACATAATTCCAAAATATTTAATTATCTTTCCATCTACGCTCTGAAATCGTAGTAATATTTAAAAGTAAATTTATAAATAAGATACTGTAAGTTCCACTGTTTTTGATTGCTGGATCGATAAAAATCGAATTGAATGTAATTGAGATGTGTTATAGTTGGTGTTTCACTCTAGCATCCACTCAGCATAAACAGTGGTTCTTGTTAAGCGAGATACCTTATAGTACAAATTTTCAAAAATAATAACATCTAAGAAGTTTTACTTTAAACTGGCTTTCTGGTAGCTTTTCATCCGTATAGATAACACGATTTTCTTCCCTTCAAAACATTCCCTTTAGTAAATATCGAGTTCACTAAATAGGTACTATACAATTCAAAGTTGATGTGTCCAACTTTTTTAAGTTGTTTCGTGTTCGTGTCTTATCCTAACCATTATTTTTTCCTTACTCATCCTATATGATCCTTACCCAACCCACGATAAGTATATCACATTAAATTCCTAGCTCAGCCTATTTTTTGCTATCTATATTTTTTGGTAGTATACCCTTCGGGATGAGTAAAGAATGTGTTAAGGCTGAAATATATTCAAAATATTGTCATAGGTTGAGTTAGAAATACTTGTTTGGGATGAATTGAGAAAGAGAGAAATGAATGAGACGTTATATCATGAATACGAAACAACCAATACATAGTTTACGCTTAACAATGATGGGTCAGTGAATCAGAACAAGCTCTTTTTTAAGATAATATTAACTTCTGTACTCAGATATATCATAAATATTTACCCATACATTGGGTCGTTTATGTTCCAATGCACTTGAGTAAATACACAAGGCTCCCTCGTAAACTGATCCACGGCTATCATATGCCCCTCTCTTGGGGAGAATTAATTATAGGTACTTCAGACGTACCGAATAATTCATTATTACATTACACGACGTTAGAAGTTGTTACGAAAACTTCAATTATTCAAGTGTAATTAAGGTTTATTGCAGCATTGTTATTAATTGTCAATTTTCTCAACTGCAAGGAAAATAATTAAAATTTTGTAACTTATCACCAGCATGCCAAAATTGGTTTCTGAAGACCTTTTAATTAAGTTATATTTTACAGTGTATTTCAACACTGAGATACAATCAACATCAAATAAGATAATATAAATCTACATAATACTTCTTATTATAAACCTTATAGTGTTAAAATTAAGGTTTTAAAATGGTTTACAGAGTTCTAACATTATGTAGTGCTTCAATTACTTATTGAAATCATTTAGATATGAAGACATGTATAATTTATTCAATTACGAACCAAACTGCTTTATGCTTTTGCATATAAAAAGCGCTTTTATTATATAAATAAAATTACTAGCTGTACCTAGTCACACGTCGCTGTGGCTAATAAAGGTAAAAAGATTGAGACAAAAACTATAGCCATAACTCATACTTCTTTTAAGTTGGACTAAATTACAGATACATGTGAAATTTGATTAAAATCGATTCATTGTTTCAGAGTTTATGAATGACACAAGATCTTTATATACTTTAAAGATTTATACATAACTATCATCTTAAATTTAATACATACATGTGACTTAACTGAACTTAATCCACTAAGTGAACATCAGTCTATACTTTTATATAAATTTCAACGTTACACTTTAAACATTGTAAAACTGATGTTGCCTTGCATCTGTTCATAAATCATTTAGTACCTACCTAAATTAACGGTGAAATCTGTCCTCGGTATTTACTCGAAGCGTCGCTCACCTTTTAGTGACTAAACGGGATAATAATCCACTAAAATCATATATTACAGTTACAATCTTAGTCCTCGCGACTCCCCCTTTGGAAACAGTCTGAAAAGGGATTCTGACAGATGACAAGCAATCCCTCTACATTGGTCGATGTTTGTCATTCTATTAGCAAGGAAAACATCTTCGGTTGGCTGTACAAAGAGTGTTTACATCGCCCTTCTGTTTCAGGAAACAAGGGCTATATTACTATAGATTGTTTTATGTACATAGTTTCGTATTCTTTAGGGTGGAATCAATTTGGGAATTGGGTCGATTAGGGGCGTAATTAAATGGAATAGATGAGAAATGTCTCGGAATTGTCAGGTAGACGGGCGTGTTGGCTGAAACATTCACTGACCAAGGGATTTGAAGTGCCAAAGACTTCAACGAGTATTTGTATTGATAATGCTAGTACAGTTTATTTAGGTTTCTCGTATAGTTTGGAGGTGATATAGAGTTTGGTTTAACAATTTCTTATATTTTTTGCGCAAATTACTCATTTGAGAGGCCACTTAAACTAAGTCTCGCAAATTTTTTTTTGATCGATTCGTGTACCGTGTTCGAGCATCACTTTTTTGGAACACATGTTTTAAACTGATTGTGAATAAATAAATAGAACAGGTATTACTTAAAAAAATAATGAAACTTCATCATACATGTTTATGACACAGTAGTCTAAGATATATGATGAAGATATATATAATTCGCCCAAAACGGGATTTGAAAAAATTCTACAAATTTTAACGATTATTCAATATTTTGTCGTTATTTAAATATATTTTTTTATCTTTTAGAACGTTTTTTAGTACACCAGTTATACCTACATTTATTTTTGCAACTAGTTATAATTTTATAGTAATATGAAACAGCTCTTCTGAATAAGTTATACATCTGGCAGGAAGGTATCGACTTAATCCGGTGCATTTTCTGTACTTCATACAAATACAAGATGATAAGAGCGTCAAACTTCTCCACTTGCTTTTAAACCTTAATATATTAAGTTGAGAATTTAAATCAATTGCGATCACAATTGTAATAATCTGACGTGCGGGCAGTCGTGTATGCTATAAAAAATGTTCTTTAAAAAGGATTTTTTGTCATAAATCCATATATCTCCAAATAATAAAATTAAATAATACTAAAACATTTATTTTTACATATAACGCAAAGCATGGGAAGATTGTTACTTTTTATGAATAAACAATTACGATTTCTAATAATGACATAATAATGTAAAAATATTGTGTACGTTATTTGCATAAGAATTTCATAACAAAAGAACTCTACTTTGATATTCCGTCTGGTATTATGGAATTTCTCGCATCCTCACTTTCGCTGAAGCAAGCTAATACAGTATGATATTGTTTATTATCAGTCTTATGACATGATTTACGTTAAACATACAATAGACCTAGAATACATTGCTTGGTAGGCAAACATTTGCTTTTAAGCCGCAAAAATATTGTGATAGATATTTTCTTAGAAAGACCGATAGTCTAAGAAAACAATTTATTATTTTTTAACTGACTTCGAAACAAAAAGTAATTTGTCTTTACATATTTTTACACGACTGCCCAATAAGCAGTATATTATTGTGTATCTTATGAATGTACATATGTGAGTTTCTTTATTCCACCATAACTTTTGAGATACTTGACGGATATAAATCTATTGGGTATCATTAGAAACCTTACATCGTTTCAATTTATACAATATTTAATATGGTGGATGAATTTAACGTTTAAAAATATGAATATAATTTTTTTATTTTATTTAACAAGGGCATTTTAAATTCTTATCTGCGTGAGTTGCCCCATTTTACAAATTCATATTCATGACATTATAATGTAACACCGAGATCATCTCAGTTCCACTAGTGTTGTTCCTGATTATCTGTCGATAGTATGATGTAAATATTAATAGATGTTTTACCGTTATCACCAATAGTCAGTATAGACAGACTCATGACAAATAATAAAACCTCCGAATAATAGAAAACAAAAGCAATCAAAGAAATGTCAGTTAAATTGGTACACACAAGCGTCGCATCATTTTGCAAAGAAGTATTGAGTTGGCCTATACATATTGTAAAAGAAATAAGAAATTACTAGCTATACAGACACAAACCGCAGCAGATGTTTTACCTACATTATATTAATAACGACGAAAGTGATAATTTACACAAAAAATATGAATGGTAGATTTAATGTCTTCTTCATAATTAACCCATCAATAGTATTGCTTGTTCAAATATAGTTATACTAGTGATAAATACTTTGTTTCCAAAATATTTATTACTATTTCTTTTACGTAAGCATAAATAATTAAACTGTCACTAATATCAATTCATCATCATCGATAGATATTATTTTAATTTAATACTATCGATATTTTTGATAGCATCATCGATAGTGTAATCATCACTATTATAACAACACTTATATCAACTTCACATCATGCAGCAACGTCTTTTTACTTATTCAAAGCAAGTATAAAAATTACACGGCCATTTCGCGGCAAACTTTATATGATAAAACCGCGAAAAATTCTTTGTCTACTAACTTATTCAATAGGGCAGGTTCTACGGACATTTCATTCATACCTATTAAACTTGTTTAAAATTTCAACTGCGTCGAATAGCGGAGCACGTCCCCGATTCTCGTGTGTTCAGACTTGAAATATACCAAGCTTGCATTAATGTTGCGTTTGTGAATTTAAACTTTCATAGATCAACGTAACGAGACTGGCGAGAAGATTTTGAAGAATGTTAATACTTTAAACACAATCTTTAAAAAATATGATGATACACGATAAAATAATAAAAAATAGTAACGGGCGCAAATGATCCTGCCTAGTAATTATATGATTGAATATATGGAAATTATTTTATGTCTTTATTATATTTATCCATTTGGTATGAAGGAATTAATGAATATTATTATTTTTGCGTCATTCTAGGAATCAAGTGTTGAAAATGTGTACCTATTGTATTTTTTCTTTTTTAGGCAATTCAATAAGATTATTTCTGTAACAATTATTTCGCGTCAAATAAATAATTGGGGTCTACTTTAAAAATTATATAACTGTGAAATATACGGCAGCTATTCAATTAAAACTACAGCATCGGATGAGGCGTTGTTACAGCATTAGAGGTTCAATCATATTAAATAAATTAAAAATGGCTACTTAAAAGGGCAGTGAAATATTTATTTGATTGAATTCAATGTATAATGTTATAAGTTATAACAGCGTTGTGGTCGACAATGAGTTTGATGTTGCATTTTTATAGAAAAGGATAATGTTAACTGGATACATCAACTTCCAAAGAGTTTTTCTTATATTAAATTGGAGGTTGTTTAATTTTTTTTTAACTTCTCCTTCGAGTTTTCCTATATCAATTATCAGAAAATATGTGAAAAGTAAAAAAAACAAAATAATTCGACGCAAATGTTTTTGAGTAAGCAATTTGTTTATCTATTTATTATACACTAGCTGTTTTCCCGCGACTTCAGCTGAATGCGTATGTTACCCGCGTACGATAAAGTAGTTCTTTTCTTTCA